GGACTGAATGGTCCCGGGTTCAATTCTGGCCAAGGGCACGTATCTCGGTTGCAGGCTCGATCCTGGCCCTCGTCAGGGAGTGTGCGGGAAGCAACCAATTGGTTGATGTCTTTGTCTCTCTCTCTCTCTCTACCCTTGCTCCCTCCCTTCTACTCTCTCTAAAAATTGAGGAAAAAAATATTCTTGGGTGAGGATCGAAAAAACAGAAGAAAAAAAAAGAAATGGCTTTAGAGTAAGGCTAAAATCCGGGGCAATGTCAGGAAAATGTGGTCTAAAGATGAAGCCAAGGGTATGACTATAAAATATATTTTATTTATTTATTTATTAAATATATCTTTATTGATTTCAGAGAGAGGAAAGGAGAGGGACAGAGATAGAAACATCAATGATGAGAGTCACTGATCGGCTAGCCCGCAATCCGGGCATGTGCCCTGACCGGGAATCGAACCCCAATCGCCTGGATCCTAGGTCGATGCTCAACCGCTGAGCCACGCCCTGCCGGGCTAAAATATATATTTTTTAATTAATTAATTTATCTTTTTAATCCTCACCCAAGGATATGTTTTTATTGATTTCAGAGAGAGAGAGGAAGGGAGAGGGAGAGAAAAAGAGCAAAACACTGATGTGAGAGAGAACACTGATTGGTTGCCTCCATACACGCCTGGATCAGGGATCGAACCGGAACACCTGGGCATGTGCCCTGACGGGGAATTGAACTTATGACCCTTCAGTGCATGGAATGACGCTCCAACCAACTGAGCCACACTGGCCAGGGCTGCAAAATATTTTTTAAGGCCCCAGAAAAATCAAAGTTGATGCTTCAGAGTACTATTCAATCATAAATAAAAGGCCATTCAAAACATTCAAAAAGATTAAGGGTTCGTCTCACAGATCCTCTGAACAATAGGATCCCTAAGAAGCACAGGGCTTATCCAGAAGGTATTTGTAGGTATGGTTTTTGTGTCTAATGGAGTAAACCCCAATGACATTCACAGGAGGCCCACAAAATCTTTGAGAGTATTATCAGCAGAAACATCGCCAGCTTGGATTCAAAGAACAGAAACAATGCAAAATGAAAAGGGACCACTGGATCCCCAAAATCCTAGTTAGCAAGGAGGCTGAGAAAACTACTCAGCTGCACACATTCCAGTTTTCATGAAAGAGGAAGACTCAGAAGGCAAAATTTGGGAATGTAAAGGGTAGAGCCAAGAGCCATGGGGAATTATTCCCATACTTTGAGACCTGATAAAGAAACTCCAATATTTGCTGCATTTTAGGTAGCTATTGAACAGTGATTCCTCTGTGCCTCCCATTCTCGACCTTTTTGAACAGGAATGTGTACAGGGGTTATCTAATGTCTGTCTCACCACTTATGCTGGGTGGGTAGTGAGAAGATAGCTTGTCTTTGTTTCATAGGTTCGCAGACTGGGAGGAATGGCACTCAAGGAACAATACCTGGGAAGCTTACCCAAATATGGAGTGAATTTAGGTAACAAAATTCTGGATTTTGAGCTGATGCTATAATGGAATGAAACTTTTGGAGACCATGAGAGGAAATGAATTTTGCACATGGAGGGATGTGAATCACTAGAGATCAGGGGAGGACTTTAACAGGTGACTCCTAAGATGGCTCCCAATGAGCCCTGCCTTCCTGGTATTCACACCCTTGTGCAATCCTTTCCTCTTGAGTGTGGGTTAGATTTAGTGAACAGAATGCAATACAGGTGGTAGGGATGTCAATTCTGAGATTAGATGACAAAAAGAATGTGGCTTCTGCTTAGGTGCATGTACTCTGAGGGAAGCCAGGTGTCTGAATTGTCCTATGGAGAAGCCCATATGGCAAAGGACTGAGGGAGGCTCCCAGCCAACAGCCACAAGGAACCAAGGCTCTCAGTCCAGCAACCCACAAGGAACTGAATCCTGCCCAAAATTACATAAGTGAACTTAGAAATGAGCCTTCAGATGAGACCCTAGCCCTAGCCAATAGCTTAACTACCAGCTCATGAAAGACCTTTAGCCAGAGGACACAGCTAAGCTGCACCTGGATTCCTGATCCACAGAAACTATGACATACGTTTTTTTATTTTAAGCCACTGAGTTTTGGGGTAACTTACTACGATGTAACAGATACTTAATACACCAGGTAACAAAATTAAATCGCAAGCTTTACATTGGATTATTTTGAAAGATTATTCATTGTCTTTACTGCCTAGGAATCTTTCCAGCCTTATATCCTAAGTTGAGAACTCTCACTTCACTCACTGGGAGATGAAGGGCTAGTTGGGGTATTTTGACTGAGTATCAGAAAAGTCTGCAAACAAAAGCTTCCCCTCACACCCTAAAGATACAGAGATGTTGACACACTTTTTCAAATCCTAAAGATGAACTCTAAGGAAGGTGAACCTGAAAAAAATCTAGTGAAGAGCAAAGGACAATGGTCTCTGGAAAAAAACAGGTATGGAGGTTCCCAAGGACCTGAAGAGAGAGATGAGACGATCACATGGAGAAAGGGGCCAAGGAACCAACCTTGTAGATAACATTTGCAAAGTCTCTCCAACTACAGGTGAAAAACAGGGGTCAGGAATAGTCGAGACCTCACTGATTTTCTCCAAAGGTGGAGTCTGAGGTAAAACATCAGGACGACCGAAGTGGACGCCTGGAAAAAAGAAAGGGGAAGAAAATCAATAAATAAAAAAGAAAAAATGGGGTGGGGGAAATATAGGGAAAATTATGTAGCAACTTGGCTTTTCCTGGACAGGAATGGGAAGCAGAGGTCCTAAGCAAATAAGAACTCAGAAGGGAGGGAGGGAGTACCCAATCACATGGGAACCCCAGCCCTGGCGCTGACCTGGCTCCACTTCCGCCTTTGTTGTCACTTGTGCCTTGTGTTCCCCAGAGACCGATGGCTGGTAAGTAATGCAGGAGTTGCCGCTGGGGCCTCCTCGCCGAGAGAAAGATGAGCCAGACCGAAACTTTTTGGAAGGAGAGGGCTTCACTTCAAAAGGGAGAGAGAGAGCCTACTTAGCACCCACCTCAGAAACCATCACCAAGACATAGGTACAAACTGCTAGCATCCCCAACACAAACACAAAGTTGTTTTTCTGCAAAGCAGGAAGAAGGGTTAATGTCAACAAAGACAGGCTCTATGAACTACTTTTTAGAGGAAGGGGCATCTCAGTTCACTTCACTTTGGAAAGAAGTGGAGAACCTAGAGGAAAAGAGACACATACATCTCTCCCCTCCTACAAACAATCTCAATGGCTTTGCTTCCACCTGATGAGATGTTCTCTATTTCGTAATTCCCTGTTCTTTAATACTATCCTTCAGTTAAACCTACCACAGATGACCTTTTCACTCTATATCCTTGTAGTGCTTATGCACACAGCACTATGACGACACTTTACACACTTGTTTATACGTCCCTTTGAAAAGACTTTGAAAGGATTTTCTCATATTTCTTAAGACTGTGTGGCATGCCTAGGTCCTCTCTGACTCACTAAGGGATGCCTGTGATGAGGAGACGGGAAGAGGAGCTAGAATTTACCAGTGGCAACAGCATGAAAGGTTTGGAAAGAAGAACATTGGCACTTCCCAATCAAAAAAGTTGAGGGAAGAGAGTAAGAACACCTGCTAAACAGAAATCAGTAAATGCTTCTCCAACCATTTGAACCTAGTCTGAGAACTCCTTGGCATTGGATTTATAAATGGAAAATAGAACACTGGTAATAATACCCTTGCCTATCTCTGTCCATAAAAGTCTGACTCTGTCTATCTCAGCCTGTGACATGGATCCTATACCCACACTATATATTTTTTGCAATCCCGCCAATTTCCCAGAAATGCCCCTCACCTCAATGATATACGTAGGGAGAGCCAGGGGGAAAGCAGCAAGCAACTTGGAAACAACTGGAACAGACAGAGTGACTGACATAAAGACGGGCAGCAGCTATCATGGGATGTGAGTAGAGCAGGAGAGGCCTCTGGCTTTGGCAGTTCCCTGACAGTGGTGTCCTGCCCGCCATCTCTTGGAGTAAGGGAGCCATTGGGGGTTCATCTGGTAGAAGCCACTTACAGGGGATCTTCTTGAACACTGTGTTGCACATGAAGCGCTGGAACCGTTCAGCGTAGAAGCCTGGGCGATGCACCGATACGGTGTCCTGCAGAGCAGAAGAGATGGCTGAAGAGTTACGAGATGGTCCACCAAGAGGACCTCTAGTCCAAGGGCCACTTTCCCTAGGCTGAGACCCTAGTAGAAGGGTAAAACCCACAAATGAAATAAGAAATTGAGGGGGCAAATCAGAAGTGAGGGAGGCAGAAAGAGAGCCTCTAGTTAACTGCTACTCACCCCATCATGCACCAGAGCTTTCCAAGAGTGCTCCAACTTCTTAACAAACCTGCCAAGGAAAAGATGTGTCATGAATTCACAGAGTTTTTAAATAAATGATCTTATATTTTTTTATTTTAGGGAGTTAAAGAGTCAATGGAAAAACTTAAAATGATAGAGGCTGGGAAAGCACTCTATTATACTGGCTTTCCAAAGAATGGACTCAGTAGTGCTTATTCAGAACATAAGTCAAAGGTGTTTCTAGTTAGGTAATTATCCTAAGAGAAAGGGTAGTTAATATATCCCTGGCAAGTCAGGGACAATAATATTTACTGTAAAAGAACAGCAGGAGGAATAGATGGGCAAGCCTCTGAGAGAGAAGTTAAAATTAGATGATAATATTCTGAATCAGTAAACCAAGCACTGTCCAGTCCTCATGAGTACCTGAAACCTTACAGAAACAAAACTGGGGTCTAATACAGGGTGCCCCCCCAAAATGTATACACACTTTAACAGCTGGTAGATCACTTTTGAAAAGGAAACGTATTTAAAGAAACACTTCCTTTATAATTATTTAAAGTGTGTGTATACATTTTTTTGGGACACTGTATTTCCAGCTCTTGCCTCACCATCACTTACTGCCTCTTAGTTCCACAGACTAATTAATACTTTTCATAGAACACAGTGACCCTCCTTTTACTCCTCCATGGAAAAGGGGAACATGTTTTCTGCTATATCTCAGGGTGGAGTATGACTCATCTCACAGGTTTTTCAGAGTCAGACAAATGGTATATTCTACCCTGGTGCTTCCCAGAGCTGACTCAGCTTTCCACAGAGGTGCATGTTATGATTCAGGGGTGGTGGGGTACGGAAGCCAGAAGACAGGCAAAAATCAAAAAAATAAACCACCACTTGAAACCCAATGAGATAAGCAGTCAGGTTACAACTCACTGTTCTTGTTTCGGGAAGAATTCAGTGACAAACCCATCGAAAAGAGAAATGAGTGGTTATCTGCATCCACTCTACCCTCTAATTTGGAATCCTTGTTTCTCACCTGTAAGACTGCAGAATGTCAATGATCCCAATATAAAGCAGCAGCCTTTCCCCTTTACTATTCCGGGCAGGGATGCCACCCATACTGAGGAAGACAAGAAGGAAAGAGAAAGAAAATCTTTTGGCTAGCAGGTAATTAAACATAATTGTCCCATCTTCCATAAACTGGAGAAGAGTGAGAGCCTTCTTCTGACCCCAACAACTCTGGAGTATGTATTATAACCTCTTTCTCTCCAAATCTCACTTGCCTGCCTCTCCCACCCCAATTCCACCAAAGAGAATCTAAAATCACCCCTACTCAGCAATTTTAGGAATGTTCCCCCAATTAACTATACACTCCCTCATCAGTACTTTCATATTTAAATCTATGCCCACTAAGACATTCTTCTTGAGTCATATTAAAGGGTACCTCAAAAACAGAGCCAACTAGAGAGCACCTGTGGTCCCTTCAGTAACTTGACAGATCCATTATGGTAAGAAAGGTGAAAAAAAGTCCGTAATAAATTGTTTTTGAGGAAATTATAATTTGCAGACCTGTATCTAAGACTCTGAGTGAGCTTAAAAAAAAAAAGTATTTTAATTTTGAATAGCTCGCCTTCCCAATTGTACTACAAATCCCAAATTTAAAATATTTTCCTTTCCTTATATGCTCTTAAGAAAGCTCATTCTAGGCCCTGGTTAGAGCATCGTCCCGAAACACCAAGGTTGTGGGTTCCAACCCTAGTCAGGGCACATATAAGAATCAACCAATAAATGCATGAATAAGTGGAACAACAAATGGATGTTTCTCTCTCTCCCTCCTCTCTCTCTAAAATCAATAAATTTTTTTAAAAAGATGTTTTTATTGATTTTAAATAGAGAGGAAGGGAGGGAGGGAGGAGTGGGGGAGAGAGGGAG